TATAAAGTGATTTTTTTGGTCATTAAAAAACTGGGAAGTCCTAGTCCTCCTAATTCTTCTAGCCTAAGAAACCAGAGGTGAAAATGTACTGAGCATGATGGGGAACAACATGGCCTCAGGATGCCCTGTGCTTGTCCCAGTTCTTCACCTTATGGTGTGGAGACAACCAGGATATGGAAGGTGACCTTAGATCTTTTGGGAAGCCATCCCTGCCCTGTGCCGAAGTGAGGTGCCTCCCTGTGGGATGACTGGGTCCACCTCTGCTCTGTTTTGCCCACCATGACAAACTCGCCTCTCTGACGTTTCAGGGGACAACTACTGGGTGATCGACACCGACTACGACAACTACGCCATCACCTACGCCTGCCGCAGCCTGAAGGAGGACGGCTCCTGTGACGACGGCTACTCCCTCATCTTCTCGCGCAACCCCCGCGGCCTGCCCCCCGCCATCCAGCGCATTGTGCGCCAGAAGCAGGAGGAGATCTGCATGTCTGGCCAGTTCCAGCCCGTGCTGCAGTCAGGTACTTCTGGCCAGCTGGCACACTCATGGGAAGGGGTGCCCTGGCAGCTGGTAGAGCGGGCGATCACATTTGCTGCAAATGCAACAGAACCACAGCAACTTCTTTAACACTGGGAAGTACCTCTTCATCCAGTAAGAAACTAGCTGCAAAGGGAGGTCCATGCAAGGGAGAGAGCCTGTTACAGGGTGGTTCTGCAGCCTTAAGTTTGCCCTTACAGGAATCCTGTGTGCTGAAAAAGGCACACTATGAAAGGAAGATCAGCTTTGTGCCTCTAACAGATAGGATAGGGGTGGGTGTAACAACCTGGTGTTTCTGACCTTGGAAATGCTTCTCTTGGCTGCCTGAATAACAATATCTTACTTGCAGTCTTTGTGCTGTCCTCCAGGACAGGACAAGCTGCCTCCATAAAGGAGCACCCTTGTTCTTGTTTCCTGCACCATGATTTTTGCACTGGGCTGTCTGAGTAGCAGAGATGAGGGGATCTGAGCCGTGGTTCTGATTGCATCTGCTGGCACTGGGAGTCAGCAGTTGCTCCGCATACATGTGAGCAGAGTGTGTCTAAAGCCTGTTTTGAGAGAGCTTGTTTTCTGGAGGCATAGCAGTGGGTCTTCTAACTCATACGCTGTCTTGAGAGAGTCAGATAATTTTTTAGGGCTATGCCACAGGCATAAATTCCTCTTTGTTGACAGCTGAGTGCCCACACCCTTCACACACACACTGCCTTGCCTGGAGATTGGCACTTTAAGCCAGGCCTGAAGACCTGGACCTGGGGGGCTGCCACAGGAACACGTGTTCTGCACTGCTGGACACAAAACAGCAGCTAAAACCTTCTGAATGGCACATTGTTGTGTAAACCAGGCCTCCAACACAGAGCAGGTCATCCACCATCATCCAAGGCTACGGGACTGCTACAGGCATCCCTGTTCCATACTGCCCCATCTTGCTTACTGTAGGGTTTGGGGGTTCATGCCTAGGTGCTCACATAACCTGAAAACTCGTGACTAGCTGGGACTAACAAAGGCTGTGCCAGTGCTATGCCAACAGCAACTTTTGCACTCCCCCATCCTGATCTTGTACTGTGGTTCAGAAGTACCCTAATAAGGTTGTAGCTACAGCTTCACTGAAGACAAAAAGGCTGTTGAAGCACTTGGCAAATTTACTTACAAGGACTAAAGTTTACTTTTCTCTCTTTCCAGGGGCCTGCTAAAAAGTACGCTTCTGATCCTATCCTTAAGCACAGAAACCAGACCTCTTGGTCTTGAAGTCGCCACAGAAAAAAAAATTAAAACAATTTTAGTATGGACTAGTGTGTTTTTCCTAAAAAACACGTGAAGATGTTGAGGTTTTGTAAACTGTGTGCAATACAGTATCGATATTTAAATTTTCAAGGGAATACCTAATGTGGCATTTGTCAATAAATGTTTTGGAAGAAAATACCTCTGGAACTGCTTTTTGTTACCTGCTGTCCTGTCAGGGAGCAGCAAGAGTGAGGCTGCTCGCTGAGGGTGGGTGAGACAGCAGCCAAGGGTGGCCCCAGCACAGGCAGGGCAGTGTCCCTCCCTGGCACCAGACAAGGTCTGTGGGTGCCTGCGGGGTGCTGGCATACACAACACACCTCTCCTCCCCACAACCCTCTATCAATTCTGAAGCCAAGAATTTCTCTTTGAACAACAGCTCTGAGATGAGGCCAACAGTGTGATCCTTGCTGCCTGGTAGTTTCTTATGGTTATTTCTCATACATCTGAACACTCAAAAGTCTGCACAGAGTATTTCTGACTAGCCCCTGGATCACAAACGCAATACAGCAGATGTTCCTTTCAATAACACTGGGACATTGCTTTAAAGAGCAGGTTCTTGCATTTCTAGTGACATGAGCAGTAATTTACTCCCCACTGCCTTCATAATCCAGCCTCCAGTATCTGAGAATTGAACTGAAAGATATAAAACTGACAGGTTTTATGGCCAAGAATTTCATGGATAGAGGGAACCAAAAGAATAGTATCTAGGCAACTCCATGTGGAAAAAAGGTAAGCCAAGTCAGCATTTTTGCCATATATTTTCCACTGCTCTTAGAGAAATCACATTCACTTTGAACATTTCCTATGAATCACACCACCAGTCCAGAACTCCCTCAGCACCCCGCCGAACCCCACAGTTTATCAGCAACACCAAGTTTTGTAAGTCATCAACATCAAGCGTAGAGGGAAGATGCAGCTGAACAGCCCCGGCTCCTGAGGGTTTTGAAAGGCATATGGCACAAGTCTGGTACAGAGTGAAGACCTTCACAGCAGTACACTACAAACCCACTTCTGCTAGACCCTTTCACACCATCTTAGCTACAGTATCCAGTGATTATCTACTGCATCTGTTGGAGAAGCATAAAAAGCACTGACTTAAGACTCTTCTCCAAGGCCACACACACTATCCCAGAGATGCAGGGAAGTCTCCCAACCTTGTGTTTCCCAGGATTTCCAGGTGGGACTTTTAAGGCTCTCAGCCAACATCAAATAAGGTGTTTCTTGCTCTTCTGGTCTAGGAAAAGCTGCCCTGACAGGCAACAAGATGGTGAATTATCATGTGAAGCTGAGGAGAGAAACAGAAGAGCAGCAGTAGGCAATGCAAACAAAAAATCACAGAGACTATTGAGTGCTGAAAAATATCGGCCTTTTGTGCTGGACTAAGTGCAAGGTCAGTGCACTGATTGAATGTTCGCCACTTGCCCCCCTTTCCTATGAGGAAGTATTGGGGTGGAGATCTGTGAACTTAGGACTTGTATCACAAGTGATTAGACAAAGCTAGCCTGGCCTTTGGCCAGGACATTCCAGTCAATACTACCAGTCCTAGGGAAGTGGAATTTTTACTGTCTACAGGCTTAGTAACTGTACGACCAGAGCAGATGGGAGTTCTGCCAGGATGGATGTGTATGCAGGACCAAGCACATCCTTACTGTGCTTGTTATAGTCCGTCCAGACAAGTTAGGCAGTGAAATCCCTCCTCAGCCACACACGGTTGGGCCTCCAGGTTCACAGGGGGATGGTGCTGACGCTGGGAGACTACACCATGGCAAATACATGCCCCAGGAGTCTGCCTTGTTCTTGGTGGAACTGAATGAACCTGCTCCTATCAGAAAAACATGCAGGCCCTCATCATGTGACCTGGTGAGTTAATAAACAGATGAGAGTTAGCTCATAGCCATTTCTCTCCACTGACCACAAGAAATGTGAGAGACAAGGTAGGGTAAAGCAGGAAGCTGTAGGTGTGTTCTGATCTGATTTACACTTCTCCTGTTATTCCAACAAGTTCAATATAAAACATGTAAGTTATGTCTGACATACTTTTGCTGTTTGAGCTGTCTGATGAGAACCAGTCTATTAGTCCTGGGTTTAAGTGCGTGATTAGTTCCCCAAGTCATAATCTCTGTCCTGCACAAACTTTCCACTATCAAGAGAAAAGAAAAAGCTGTTTACAAATGAAAAGCACTGTTGTTTTGTCCTCAGAAGGTCCTTTAGTGCTGGCAGAAAGTCTAAGACTATACAACAGCAGGAGGAACCCTGCAAGGATATTTTCCTTCACATGCCAGTGAGTGCCTCTCAGCAAGGTCCTGAGATCTGACGCTACGATACCATGTTGAGTGAGACTAGTTTGCCCTGGCTGTGGCACCTGAGCCCATCTCTGTATTTAAATGCCTGCTTCAGCCTCGGAATTTCTTACGGTCATGCTCCATTCACATGTCATTTTTATGTAAAGTTGGAACTTGTACCAATCAAGGTATCTTTATTCTTTGAGAACAGGCTTTACTTCCCAAGATTAAGCTGTTGACACAAGATTTTTGATCAGCTTCCAAAATACAACGATCAGATGCTCTTTTAACAGGGTTCATGTGAAAGATTAAAAACTGGTTTTATTGGGTAGCACAGGAGACTGTAACAAATGCAGTGTATACACAATAAGACAACATAAACCACCATTTGAAAGGTTTCTCTAGCATTCATTTTAACAAAAAATTGCAATATTGTTACATAGCCCCAGAAGTTTTTGCTTGAAGAGCTGGCAAACCATCTCATCTTGCCGTTGCAGCTAGATTGTCTATTTGGATTTATGGCCAGCAAGAGGCAGATACTATCTGAATGCTCTGTACTCTTGCTTTGTTCTGACACCACAGAACTGCTAAGCACCTGCTGCTCACACTTAGTCCCGTGCATATCCGGCACTTCTGAAAGCTGAAACTGTGATGGGAGGTCACCACTGCCTGGGAGCTGAGGAGATGGTAGAGTTCAGCATGCAGTTCTGGAAGCCTTATTAGACAGCCAGTGACAGATGGCTACAGAAAACTCAAGGTCCAAGGATTAAAATTAAATTTGCTGAGACATTCAATTATAAAGAAGATAAGGGCAGCCCAAAACTTCTACACTACACATTTTAAAAACAAATTGAAGCCTGGAGACATCAAACTGCCTTCTCTGCTGCAATTGTTTAGACTTGCTTATTGCTTAAAGGAATACGTTTATACCAAAGCAGTAAAGAAGAAGAAAAAAAGATCTTGCTGAATATTTAAAACTTGTTTCTGAACAGACAGTGCAACCTTTTTGGACAGCTCTGCTTTCCATGCATAGCTGCCACTGCCAGAAAAATGCCACGTGCCTTCCACACTTTGGATGATGTTTAATGTAAAAGCCCTAAAAGTGGGGCCTAGTGACAGATTTTCAAAATAGCTGGACTTGACCCTAAGAAACTGGATTTTACTTGCATCTACAACATGTTAAGCTCTGCCCTTGCAAATAAGGTTTCTGGTTTTTTTTGTGGCTTCAGTAACCAATACAATAACGTACACCAATTTTACCTTGAAATTTAGAGACAACAACACTCTCAACTTTGTTTTTTAGCAAGACAAAAAAATTAAGTGTGAGAATTACAAACCACTCAAAGAGGCAGCTGCAAGCATCATGTCTGTCACTGCTAAGAAGCAGAAATCTTGGGCCAGCTGAACTCCCAGCCTGAAATCTTCTAAAAGATAGTAACTTGTCCTAAAGGAAATCACTTGCCATAGGGGCAGACACAACGAAAGAGTGAGTGAATTGCTATTCTCTGTTCTGCACCTTTGCAAAAGCCAAACATTCCATCAGGACTCATGAGGTCTGCATCATTTGTCCCATATCTGCCACCACCAGCCTCACTTGTGTGACATATTATTTCAGTTTATCTGCTAAATGAAGCAGGACAGTGATTTTTGAGCTTCTATTTGTCATTATTTGTGCACCTATACATTTTCCTACAAATCTCCTGCACAGCAAAATCATTACACCTATCCTATCCTGCTGCTTCTTTTTTTTTTTTTTTTTTTTTTTTAAACAACTATAAATCGTGCATTCTTTGGCTTGCTAAAGACTGCTATATTCTGATTGCCAATCTGGGAAAACTTTAAAGCAGAAGGTTACTCCAATGGGACAGCCTACAAGGATAAACTGTCCTCTCAAGCTCCTGTATCTTCCCTTACTTCAGACACACTGAAATGTCTCCAGGACCTACACCTGAATATTTCCAAAAGTAATTTTTTTCTGTCATTCCACTTCATACTGGTAAACCAGTATGTCTTAACTGCTAGATTTTATCTGGTTCTTCACTTTTGTAACAACTGTAAACAACTTTAAAATGTATTTTTACTATCTCCATCCAAGTGGAATTTCTCACTAACTTTTCTGAAACTGGGAAAGTTGTGGATTAAATAGTCTGTAGTGGCCATTTATGCTCTGTACAAACCTTTATGGGCGATGAGCTGGCAGATTAGGATGTGACAAGGACTCCTTAGTCAAACGTCAGTGAGGCAAGAAATATTTCATCTGAATTCTGGACAAAGCAAATCTTTTAAGGCTAATGTTCAGCATAAACACATTAATAAGCAACCAGGAGGTACAGAGACACAACGCCTCATCTCGTCTATACTGACTTGTTTATGTTTCTTTTCTGTGCTGTAGAAGTGAGGCCGTTTGAGGTAGTTCAGCTCTCTCCTCCTGTGCAAACTTGTTTTTTTTATGTGAGACCCAAATGTTTCATCAAATACGCAGTCTTTGTTGTTATGTTGGTGAGGTGGCTGATGTCAGCAAAGGGAGCAGTAGGGGATTTGTTTGTGCGAAGTAGTTGCTCCTCTTATGGAAAACACTGCAGCTGTTTTCACTGGCATTATCCTTCCCTCTACAAGCATTTTAATGGCACAGCTCAAACTGTGCCAGTTGTGAAAAGAGAAGAGTAAAAAAACACCCCTGCAATTTCAGGGAACTCTGCTGTTACATAAAGTGTTTGGCAGTTGCAAGGACAGACAGAGGGTGCTCTGTAGCCCATGATATTGATTCTGTAGCCCACCGGCTTGGACCAGATGGCCTTTAGAGGTCCCTTCCAACCCAATACATTCTATGATTCTGTGATCTAGGGTTATCA